AAAAAAAAAAAAACAACCTAAACATTTTCCATTTCAAAGAAAATTTTGCTTTTCATGCCATCAGAAACAGTATTTTCTTCCCAAATTAAAATAAAAGAAATACGATCACTTCTTGGGAGGAGGGATGTGTAGCTGAACACAAGCTTATTTTTAAAATAAAAATATTTTAAAACTGGGTTTCCTTCTTGAAAAATATGTGTATTAGAGTCATAAAACCCTGTTAAAAATAAAGTTTACTTTGAGATGCACAGTTTTAAAATTATAATCTCCTATTCAGATTTATAAAGCTCTTGATCTTTTGTTGTAATTTTCATGTGTGTTTAAGTATCTGCATTTATCTTTTTTCCTAATTTTCTAATGCTAATGTTATTTCTTATAATTCAGTAACATAGAGGATAAAATAATGCTTTTGGAAGAATGTTTAGAAAATTAAAATGGTTCTTCCTGGTTAAAAAAAAAAAAAAAAGTTTAACGTTATAAAATTAACAAAAATAATATAAAACTCATATCCTGGCGAAATAGCCACATGGCAGCTGAAAACCGTATATTCCCTTCCTGTTCTCCTGCGTTCCCTAGCTTGTTGTGCATTCTTTCCAAAAATCGGGGCTTTTTTAAAACGCCGCAGGACGTGGGACAAATTGTTAAAAATCAGGACTGTCCTGCCAAAAGGAGGATGTCTGGTCACCTTAGCTTAAGCAATTCTCTTGCCTCAGTCTCCCAAGTAGCTGGGACTAAAGGCACCTGCCACAACACCTGGCTATTCTTTGTTGCAGTTGTCATTATTGTTTAGCTGGCCTGGGTCGGGTTTGAAGCCGCCACCCTCGGTGTATGTGGCTGGCGCCATAACCACTGTGCTATGGGTGCTGAGCCATGCCCTTTCTCCTTAAACAGGAGACTTGAGCAGAACAGTTGAAGGGACAAAGAGAAAATGGGCTGGGCAGGGAACTCTGCCCATATCTCTGGTCCCAGATCCTGCCCGTCCCCCCACTACCCCTCACATCCCCCTGTGAGAACTGCAGGACTCAGAAAGGCTTCCAGTTGGGTTTCCACAGGCTTCCCCAGGTGGGGCGTCCCCCGGGGCCTCCCCCTAACAGTGAGCAGTGATCTCAGCTCCTTCATTTCCTATGACGCAACAACATGAATTCTAAGGGGGAGGTTGCCTTAATTGGGTTTGGAAATTAAAAAATAATGAGAAATTTCTAGTCTGTCTCACTGGGTCTACAAAAAAAAAAGTGAGAAACTCAAAATTTTATATCTGTGGTTGGAATATTTGTCAAATGGCTAGTTCCCCTTTCGTGCCTCAGTGACCAGTCTGAGGCTCAGGCATTGTTGGAGGGGCCGCCAGTGTCTGATGTGGGAGGTGGGTGGAGCTCATCTTTGGGGTTGTGTGTTTTATTTTTTTCTTTAAATAGTTTGTGATGTGTCCTTTTCCTTTAATTGCCACTTGAGTGTTCTTCTGGTAAAGGACAAGTAGAAAAATATTCAGTTGACTGGGAATTCTAGTTAGTATCAGTGGTGGGATAGACCTTAGTAGTTATCTAGTTTAAACCTCTTGTTTTGCATATAAGGAAACGGCCCAGAGAAGGGATGTGACCCAAATGAGGTCCCCCTGGGAAGTTAGAAACTAAATTTCTCTCTTTTTTTTTTTTTTTTTTTGAGCAGACCCTCAAGCTATCCCCCTGGGTAGAGTGCCATGGCATCACAGCTCACAGTAACCTCCAAATCCTGGGCTCAAGCGAGTCTCATGCCTCCTCCTCCCAAGTAGCTGGGACCACAGGTGCCCGCCACAACGCCTGGCTATTTTTTGGTTGCAGCCGTCATTGTTTGGCAGGCCGGAGGCTGGATTCGAACCCGCCACCTTAGGTGTATGTGGCTGGCATCTTAGCCACTTGAGCCACAGGCATCGAGCCTAGAAACTAGATTTCTTATGGGGCTTTTCTTCCCAGAGGCGTGTTGCTTTAGTCTGGCCTCTTGCTTTAGTCTGTTCAGCCCAGGATGGGGAGAGCCAAGACGAGGATGGCTGTGTCCTGTTCCAAGGTGGGAAAAGTGAAGTGTGGAGTCACTTAGCCATTTGCCCAGGCCGTCACTAGCATGTAGGTCTCCGCTTTTGCCATAGACTCTAAAGTCAGAGTGACAGCTTTGCGGGTAGGGAAGGGAGTATTGTCAGGCTGTTGGAGGTTCAGGGCCAAAGCTTGGGACAGGGAAATGGTGGGGGAAGACAGGAGACTGTACTAACCCTTGCCTTCTGCCCCTAGGCACGACCCCTGACCCGCTACCTGCCAATCCGGAAGGAAGACTTTGACCTGAAGACCCACATTGAGTCATCAGGTCACGGTGTGGATACCTGCCTGCACGTGGTGCTCAGCAGTAAGGTATGAAGCGTATACGGCCCTGGGTCCTGCAGGGAGGGAAGGCCCCTGGTTAGAGGTACCGCCCCCTCGTTAGAGACCCCTTTTAGGTCCTCAGAATAGTAGCCTTGGTTCTTGCCCTAACCTAACCAGGTCTCCGACCCAGGATCTGATGTGTTGGCCTGAAGAGGTGCTGGGGACAGTCCCCCGCCCAGATGCAGGCCCAGGGAGTGGCACACAGTTAAGGTTTAGGGCTGCACTTTTGGGTCTTGCCTTACTCCTGTTTCCCACCAGGTCTGCCGTGGCTACTTGGTCAAGATGGGTGGCAAGATTAAATCATGGAAGAAGCGCTGGTTTGTCTTCGACCGCCTCAAGCGAACCCTTTCCTATTATGTGGGTGAGTTAAGGCTTCCCCCAGAGCTGGCCAGATTCCTGGGCTCACCAACCCAGGACAGCTGGTCTTCTGGCAGGAGGCAAGCTTCCAAGTCGGGGCCAGAGGGCCTTATCCTCCCTGCCCATATTACCTCCACTTATTTATTTACCTATTTATTTAGAGACAGAGTCTTACTCTATCACTGTGGGTAGAGTGCTGTGACATCATAGTTCTCTGCAACCTCAAACTCTTGGGCTCAAGTGATCCCCTTGCTTCAGTCTCCTGAGTAGCTGGGACTATAGTTGCCAACCACAATGCCCAGCTGATTTTTCTATTTGTACTAGAGACGAGGTCTTGCTCTTGCTCAGGCTTGTCTTGAACTCCTGAGCGCAAGCAATAATCCACCTGCTTCGGCCTCCCAGTGTGCTAGGATTATAGGCATGAGCCGCTACACCTGACCCGTAAAGCACTCTTTGATTTTTCTTATTTTTTTTCGTTGAGACCGAGTTCTACCCTATGCCCTGAGCAGGCGTTGTAGCTCACTGCAATCTCAGACTCCAGATGTAGGCATCCCTCTGCCTCAGCCTCCAAAGCCACTGGGATTACAGGTGCTTGCCGTGGTGCCTCACTGGGATTTTCCATTTTTTTCATGAGTTGGGCTCTCATTCTCGCTCAGACAAGCCTTGAACTCCTGAGCTCAAGCAGTCCTCCGGCCTCGGCCTCCCACAGTGCTGGGATTACAGGTGTGAGCCACCGCGCCCAGCCCGTAAAGCACTTGTAATGCCATTTCACAGATGAAGAAAATGAGGGTCAGAGAAGTTAAGTGAATTGCCCAAGGTGTCATAGCTCCTAAGAGGCAGGGCTGAGAGTGAGCCTGGGCAAGTAGACTTCAGAGCAGAGAAGAGGGGACAGAGAGGGCAGCACCCTGGGCCCGGCCTGCCCATGTCGGGAAAGAAGAGAGACCAGCAAGAGGAGAAGGAGCAGGGGCAGGAAGCCAGCACTGACCATGTGCCAGGTGCTGGGCTGGGGCTTGGCACATGTTACCTTATTCAGTGTCTGTGAAACAAAAGGAGACCAAGTTCAGATGGCAGGAGTGGGGGTGGGGATGGAAACAGGGAAGGAAGCCAACCAAAAGAGCAGACATTTTCAAGCAGGAGGTGGCACCAATGATGGCTGCTGCAGAAAGGCCAAGAATGATGTGGTCCAAAGGCCATTAGATTCAGGGATGGGAGCTTGTCAGGAGAAGAGTTTCCACTGCGTATGGGGCAGGAGCCAGACTGCACAGGATCCAGAATAGGAGGTGGTGAGGAAGCAGACGCAGGAACGTGTTACTATTCCTAGTGAAGGAAGGGGCAGGATGGAACAGGTACTGGAGGGCTGACCGGGCCCAGAGCCATAGCAGGGCTGCGTCCTGTCCTAAGGAGGAAATGTCAGAGAGGAGCCTGTGGCTGGATCATGACCCTGGTGTGCCTGGCCTCTTCCAGCTGGCTCCCCTTCCCCCTACCTACTCAGTGGAAACCTCATTGCATGGGGTCCAGATTAGATATTACCTCCATGAAGCCTTTCCACTCCTTACTAGGAGTGGTTCTTGCTCTCCTCTGAACTCCTGCATTATCTAGGGTCCCTTCTGCCATGTGACATCAGTGGCCTAATGATATAATGACAGATGCCACGTGTTATGTGCCAGACACTGTACTAAATACTCTGAGTGTGTTATCTCACTTAATACTTGTGACAACCTGTGATAGGGACGTGCGCTCGTGGAGTTCCTAACCTCGCCTGAGGTCACACAGCTAGTAACTAGGTTGTGTGTCTGTACCATTACAAAAGTTTTGAGATACAGAAACAGCAAGAAATGTCACATCTGTGTGGATGGAAACCAGCGAAGCCCTCCCGGCAACACAGATAAGTCAAGCAAATTGAAATTTGCACAGGCCAATCAGAAAGGATGCTGTTGACTGTGTTCTGTAGGAGTGAAATAATGGACAACAGCACGGTCTGTCTCAAAGACCCACGCACTTTCCTCTCCACTAGATTGTAGGTTCCTAAGAGAATGGTCTCTCACTTCTCTTTGGATCTCTGTGCCTAGGAATCATTCATTCATTGTTGATGGAGCACCTGTGTGCCAGGCACATAGTTGTTGGTGTTAGGGGGAGGTAGACCTACAGATGAGTAAAGGAGGATTCAGATTCAGCCTGATAGGTTCTGGACAAATGTGGGGAGGGGAGGAGCACATGGGAGGAGCTGCTTCTAGCTGGCACCATTGGGTTTCCTGGTTGGCATGACCTCTCCTGTAGGACCCGGGCTCACTGCCCTTCTCCTTCCTGCCACCTCTGCCTCCAGGTACTATGGGCTACATGTATATATTAACTACTATATACAGCAAGGAAGTGTGCTTCCTTTTTTTTAATATTAGGACAATATACTAAGATAGGTCAAAAATCAAAATGTATAAAAAGGTTTAAATTGAGAACTATGCCCCTACGTGCTACAGATAACCACTTTTGTTAATCTCTGGTGAATCCGAGAGTTTCTGTAGAGTATAAGCAAATGCAAACATATTCTTAACCTCTTTTTTTGCACAAAAGGTGGTATCCAGTACATTCCTTGCTTCTCTTCAAGTGTGTCTTAGAGATATTTCCATATTATATATTTCTGTATCTAGGACAGTGTGGTGGCTCACAGCTATAATCCCATGGCACTCTGGGAGGCTGAGGCAGGCGGATTGCTTGAGCTCACAAGTTCAAGACCAAGCTTGGTGCCTATAGCTCAGCAGCTAAGGTGCCAGCCACATATACCAGAGCTGGTGGGTTCGAATCCGGCCTGGGCCTGCCAAACAACAATGACAACTACAACCAAAAAATAGCTGGGCGTTGTGGTGGGTGCCTGTAGTCGCAGCTTCTTGGGAGGCTGAGGCAAGAGAATCGCTTAAGCCCAAGAGTTGGAGATTGCTGTGAGCTGTGACGCCACAACACTCTACTGAGGGTGACACAGTAAGACTCTGTTTCAAAAAACAAACAAAAAAAAAAAAAAAAAGTTCAAAACCAGCATGAGCAAGAGCAAGACCCCTGTCTCTAAAAAATAGCCAGGCATTGTGGCGGGTGCCTGTAGTCCCAGCTATTTGGGAGGCTGACGCAAGAGGATTGCCTGAGCCCAGGAATTTAAGGTTGCTGTGAACAGTAACGCCGTGGCACTCAACTGCAGGGCGACTGAGTGAGGCTCTGTCTCAAAAAAATAAATAAATATTTCTGTATCTAGATAATTATATCTCAATTTGTTTATTCATTTCTTCGAAACAGGTTCTCCCTCTATTGCCTGGGCTAGAGTGCAGTGGCATTGTCACAGCTTAATGCAACCTCAAACTCCTGGGCTCAAGCAATCTTCCTGCCTCCAGCCTCCGTAGTAGCTGAGACTACAGGCATGCACAACCACACCTGGCTACGTTTTCTATTTTTTGTAGAGATGGGGTCTTGCTCTTGGTTAGATTGGTCTTGAACACTTAAGCTCAAGCAGTCCTCCTGCCTTGGCCTTCCAATGTGCTAGGACTATAGACATGAGCCACCGCTCCTGGTCTATATCTGGATATATTTCATAGATTTATTTCTGAATCTATATCAGATATCTCTCTTTCTTTTTTTTTTTTTTTGGTGGTTTGTGGCCGGGGCTGGGTTTGAACCTGCTACCTCAGGCATAGGGGGCTGGTGCCCTACTCCTTTGAGCCACAGGCGCCGCCCCCAGATATCTCTATATCTAACATCTGATTAGTATTCCATCACGTGGTATACTATAATTTATTAACTTAAAATCTCTACTTGATGGGTACTTGGGTTATTTCCAGTTTTGTTACCACAAGTCGGACTACAATGAATAATCTTATAAATTTCTTATTTTGTACATGTGTAAGATAAAATGAGTCAGGCAAATGCCTTTCTAATTTTGATAGACACAGCCACATTGTCCATAAGGGTTTTACCAGTTTATATTCCTACCTAGCCTCAGATTGCCTGTTTCACCACAGACTTGCCATAAGTGTGGCATATATTTTTTGTTTGTTTTTCCCATTCTGATGGGTGAGAAGTGGTATCTCAGTGGAGTCCTAATGTGTATTTCTTTGTAATCATGAGTGAGGCTGAGCATTACCCACGTGTTCAGGGTTCTGTGTGGGCCTCCGTTTTGGGGTCCTAGGAGACTAGAACCTTCACCCCACTTTCCAGATGGGGAAGGCCAGGCCACACAGAGCCAGTGGAGCCTGTTCTGAAGTGCAGCAGGCCTCCTCAGCCTGCCCTTATTTCCTTTGCAGACAAGCACGAGACGAAGCTGAAGGGGGTCATCTATTTCCAGGCCATTGAGGAGGTGTACTATGACCACCTGCGCAGTGCAGCCAAGGTCAGGAGCGGAGGGTGCCAGAGGGGGGGGCAGAAGGAGGCAGCCATGGGGCAGGGGTGGCTCAGCAGGGCTCTGGGAGCAAAGGCCCCCAGTCGCCCACTGCAGAGGCTCAAACCCAGGCCTGTTGTCTTGTGTCAACTTTCTCTTCCTTTCCCCTTCCCAGAATAGGTTTTTCCGCTTCGCTATGGTGACTGAGGTACCCCTCCCCACTTAGCAATAACCGCACATTAACACCTCCTGTACCCACTGCCCCTGACCCTTGACTTCCCCTTCCACCACCTTCCTTCCCCCACTTGAGGGAGGAGCAGTAGATGGGTTGCAAAAAGAAGCTCCTGAGGGCTTGAGTGCCTCCCTCCCTCTCCTTATTGCCTCTCCCTCTCCTGGAGGAGACCGTAGGATGTCTCCCTGTGGGAGCCAGCAATGCAGAAGGGACAGCCAGGAGGGGTGGGGGAGCTCTCAGAGACTAGAGCTGATAAATGGGGATTGATAAACCGGGGATATTTGAGGCAGGGCCAGCTGCCCTAATGTAAGTCAGCCTCCTTCTGCCAGCCCTGATCTCTGCTCCTCTGGGGTCCTGGTCCTGGAAAAGCTTATAGCTTTTTCCATCTATTCCTTTTTAGTTGAGAAGAAACTCTGGTCCTCAATGGAACATCTCTTTATGTCTGATTCTATTTTTTTTTTTTTTTTTTTTGAGACAGAGTTTCACTACGCTGCCCAGTAGAGGGTAGAGTGCTATGCTGTCACAGCTCACAGCAATCTCCAACTTTTGGGCTTAAGCGATTCTCTTGCCTCAGCCTCCCAAGTAGCTGGGACTATGGGTGCCTGCCACAACACCCAGTTATTTGTTTGTTTGCTTGTTTTATTTTTTTGCTTGTAGTTGTCATTGTTGTTTGGCAGGCCCAGGCTGGGTTTGAACCCGCCAGCTCCGGTGTTATGTGGCTGGTGCCTAGCCGCTGAGCTACAGGTGCCGAGCCTGTCTGATTCTCTTGATACTCACTTTGAACCTGGGGGTGCCAGGGTCCAAGGGGTTTAGAGAGCCCAGGACTGCCATGGTCGTCCTCATGGACTGGTGGGGACTAGGCTTTGGGTCTATTTAGGAATAAGCTAAGCCTGAGAATGCTCCAGGGCTTTCTGGGGCCTGGGAGGGAGAAGGGAAAGGGAGGCAGGTCGAGAATGGGAGGCAGGAGGAGAATGTTCCTGGGCGTGGGTGAGCCACACCTTAGACCTTTCTCTCTCCCCGGCAGAGCCCAAACCCAGCCCTCACCTTCTGCGTGAAGACCCATGACCGGCTGTACTACATGGTGGCCCCATCTGCAGAAGCCATGCGCATCTGGATGGATGTCATCGTCACAGGGGCTGAGGGCTACACCCAGTTCATGAACTGACCGCCATGAGCCTTCGGGACCCTCAGGCTGGCTGCAGGACCCATGCCTGGCCACCTGCTGCTCTGCTTGCCCGAGAGACAGAGTCCTGTGCCAGGCCTCAGGGCTCACAGGCGCGGGGCAGAACGCCTCTGGGGCTTTTGTACAAGACTTTGTAATACTGCGTACGAAGCTCAGTCCTGTGAGCTTGTGGGCTCTGGCCCCCTGAAGAATCAGTTGGAAGATAAAAAGTGGGGAGGGGGCTCTGCTGCCTCCTGAGAGCCCAGAACTTGCAATAACTCTTCAGGGTCCTGCACTGGGCTGGCCAGGCCGAGGAGCTATCACAGAGTGGGCCTCTTGGCTTTGACCTGGAGCCTGCTCTGCCCTCCCCAGCCTGTTTTCTCTTTTGTAAAGGACAAATTATGGTACCATAATCTGCCAAAGATCCCTCTTGCCTCAGCCCCCTTTGCAGGGGCCTTGGGAGCAGAGCAGAGCCACATCCCCAGTGGGATACTTGTAACAGCTCAGGCGGCTCCTTCTCAACCCCGCTCTGCCCCTTATTCTCCTTTCCTTTATACTTTTTATTACTTTGCTCAAGGGCTAGAGATCTCAAGCATCATCCTTGAGGTCCCAGTCCCATCCCCTTGTTGCAGAACCATCACCACGGTCACCATAGTGACTGCTTTGTTACCATGGTTATAAACCAATTGCCCACTGTTGCAGCTGTGGGCCATCTGAGGGTACGCGCCATCATCTCTCCAGCCCTCCTTGGGCATCTCATGCTGGGGGAAGGGATTGAACACTTTCTCCCTGCCCCTGGCCTGTGTCACCGGCCCCCAGGCCAGTCCTCTCCCTCCCACTCGTGCCTTGCTTAGAGCCAGAAGGGATGAACCCCAAGGATCTAGAGCAGAGGACCGATGCAGATGGGTGAGGAAGCTGGAAGGGCCATCCTTGGTGCTGTACAGTGTTGCATTTCTGACAGGGAAGTGGGGTGCTCAGATGCTCCCACAGAAAATCCTGAGCAGGAGAGGAAGCAGCAGAGGGAAGGGCCCTGAGGTGCCATCGTCCTCCCATCAGCCTTGGAAGGCGATGGGAATGGAGAGTGGAGGACCAGGCCTGTCTGGCCTTCCCTTCATGCCTTAACACTAAGCCCACCTCCCCAACCCTCCTCCTCAGCACTGGGCCCTTGGTCTCCTGGGCTGTTTCTCAGTATTTGTAAGCATTTCAGCAGAACAATAAAGCCTTTGGACTATGTCAGTGTGTGGAAAGCCAGGTGGGATGAGCGTGTGGTTGGGGCTCTTGGGGCAGTAGGGCCAGGTCTTCCCCCCCAAAGCAGAATTTCCACCCTATTCCAGGTTTCAGGAGGGACCCAGACCCAGCCCATGACCTCCAAGTCATGACCCTGCCGCACTTGGCTCTGAACAGAGGACAGGCCTGGAGAAGGCAGGTGCTAGTACAGAGATTTAGTGGGGCAGGATCTGGGGAGGGCAGAAGGGTGGTAGGGCTGTCACCATGGCAGCAGGCTGAGCAGGAAGTTTAGCAGAAGGGCAGCAACCAGGCAGTGGGGCTCCAGGAAGGCCAGCTGGGTTCCTGAGGTTAGCCGGTCACCATAGCGATCCAAGAGCATCAGGACCACTCCATTGGTCCAGCCAAACCCCTCCTGGACAGAGGCATGGCCAGTGGGGCCAGGTTTCTGGGAAGCCTCAAGCCCTTTGGGGAGGCTGTGGGATCTCTACCCAAGGGTTCTGGCCCTGCCTGGCCCCAGGGGTACCAAGGAGCACCGGTCAGCGCCTCAGGCCCACATACAGGTGAGCACACTGAGGCCTGGGGGGTTGTGGTCAGTCTTGTAGGACAGCAGAGCCTAGAAGTTCCCTGTGTTGGCCAGCTCACCCCTGGCCTGCTCACCTGAACTTCATACTCCCCTCCACCACCGGGCTTTCCACCGTTGGTGATGTCATACTGGAGAGAAGAGGACAGGCTATAGGTTAGGCACTGTCCCCAATCCCAGGATCCTTACCCCAAAGGCAGCAAAAAGTGGGAGGCCCCAGGGAGAAGCCACTCTGCCATGCAGCTTTGGCCCCTGCAGTTCCCAAGAGTGGCCACTGGGTGCCGCCACTGTCCTGGCCTGGGCCTTCCAGAGCCTGACACTCCTACCTCCCTTGGCGAGGAGGCCCTAATGGGACCCTGGGGGACTCAGGGCCAGCTCACCTTCTCATACATGGCTGACTTCTGGGAGTAGACATCAAAGTTGGTTCGGATCCAATTCTGAGCCAACTGGAAAGCCACCTCCTGTGTCCGAGGTGAAAGCGACTTGGCCAGACCTAGATCCCACCCCAAGACAGGATCCTGACTCTCCAGAGTCCCCATCCAAGGGACAGCAGAGGCCAGGCCTTCTCTCCCCAAGCGGAGAAAAAGCCTGGGCCTCAAGACCTCCTGGAATCACAGGCCACTCTGCCCTTAATCCGGGGTTTGGAGGGAGAACAGAAGGCTGATTTCACCCGACAGGTGGGCTGGACATAAATGTTTGCTGAATGGAGGCCAAGGTGCAAAGCAGGGAAGGAAGGACAGGGGCCCCGCATCCTTCGTTCACACTTCCCCAGCCCCAGGGAGGCTGACCCTCTACCTGCTGTGGGAAGGCCCTGGGCTCTTGCCATGCCTCCCTCCCTACCTCTGATGACCAGGTCTTGTAGCGGGGCCCAGGCATTGGGGAAGTCCCACTGCTGGCCAGTCTTCTGGAGAGAGGTCGGAATCCCATACTGGTAGGTCAGGATCTGGCTGTCCTAGAAGTTTCCAGACACTACCATGACTGTGGGTGGAGGCTGCACAGGGAGCCAGGAACTGGGGCCCTGCAGGAAGCCAGATGTGCCCTTCCTGGCCTCTGTCTACTTGACTCACAGCTGCCCCCTGGTGGTCCCAGCAGGACCCGCGGCTAAGACAAAAAGCACAGCAGGAGGGAGAGGCTGGCACCTACCAGGTCTCTGCTCAGGCAGGAGGGGCAGCCCTGCCACCATGGGACAGACCTGCCCACCTGCTGTGGCCTCACCTCCAGGTATTTCAGAGCCTTGTCTGCGACGACAGGGTCAGAGAAACAGCCGGCCCAGAGGGGAGCGAGGTTGGATGGGTAAAACTGCAGGTTTTTCTTCCCATTCTCAAGGTCGTAGTCAAACCAGGCACCTTTCTCTTCATCCCACAGGAGGGCATTCATGGTGGCCAAGCGCTGTGCCCGCAGAGTTCTGTACTTCGTGGCCTGGGCGTCGTTTCCTGGGGCAGCACTGCCTTTAGGCTGAGCAACCCTGGCCCTGCCTTTGGGCCCTGCACCTTTGCCCCTCTACTTGGCCCTCTCCGTTTGTGTTCCTCTGCGAGGGCTGAGACATCCTGGGGACCAAGGGGCCGTGCCTACCTGGAGCCCACCTCATTTCAGGCCTCTAGGTCCTGGCATTCCCTGAGCCAATGGCCCTGCACTGCTCCCAGGGCCTCCACTGGCCTGTTCCCAGGTCTGTCTGTCCAAAGACACTGGCTGTGTGGATTCCCCTAACTCTGAGGGGCAAGGGGCAGCTGTCTGAGGGAGAGGGCGTGCAGGGATTTGGAATGTGTGGACCAGGGTCCCTCATTCTGTGAGCCCTAGAGGCCCTCACAGTAAGAGAGGGAGGAGGAGGGGTGGGAAGATTAGGGTGGACTCTCTTCCCGTCCTATGGTACACCAGTGCCAGTGCCTCCATGGGGAGGGGATGTTCTTTTTTTTTTTTTTTGAGACAGAGTCTCACTTTGTCACCCTCAGTAGAGTGCTATGGTGTCATAGCTCACAGCAGCCTCAAACTCTTGGGCTCAGGTGATTCTCTTGCCTCAGCCTCCTGAGTAGCTGGGATTACAGGCATCTGCCACACCACCAGCTATTTCTAGAGATGAGGTCTTCCTCTGGGTCAGGCAAGTCTTGAACCTGTGAACTTAGGCAATCCACCCACCTTGGCCACCCAGAGTGCTAGGATTATAGGTGTGAGCCACCCAGTTCAGCCCCATGGGGAGGGTTTGAGCAGGCTGGGAAGCTGAAGGCCCTTCCTCCAGGGTTCTATTTCCAGTTCTGTTGTCAAGGCTGAGGCAGGAACCCAAGCTCAATAGCCCCTTTCCACCCAGTGCTCACCCAGTCTGGCATAGAAGTTGCTCATCAGCTCCTCTGCTTGGCACAGGAAAGCATTCAGATCAACAGGCACCAGTTTGCTTGTCCGGATGCTGCTGAGCGAGGTGAGGTTTGGGCCCCCAATGAGCCAGCGTGAAGAGAAGTCCCAGCCAGACTCGGCCCCGGCCTTGAGCTCAGCCCACAGAGCCTCCCGGTCCCCTGTGAGGACAGAGCATGGAACCAGGCAGTCCTGGCTGCAAGATGGGGCAGCCCCCAATGGGGTCCCATTGCCTGACACACTGCAGCCGCCCTCGCCCCACTGCTGCTCACCCTCTGGCAAGGTGTCTGCCAACTCTGCGTCTTTGCTGTAGGACTCAGGCCTGGCAGAGAGGAGAGGCGGGCAGCCTGTTACTATTAGGTGCTAAGCCCCTCCAGGCCCAACCAGGAGGCTGAACCATTTGGACCCAGCTACCCTTGGGCCTCCCCAGCTGTGGTTGTCCGAGAGACCAGGCTAAGTCACCCCCTCTTGCCTGGGGGTGTTGTGATGCTCAAGCCAGAGTAAGCAGGTAGGACATGGAAGGGGAGGCTGAGCAGTTTCTCACCTGGGTCCCCCATAAGGGACATAATAGCGATTCAGGATGTAGTTCTTTCCCCCAAAGTTCACAGAGACACTCCTGTTCTGAGTCCAGAAATCCAATTCCAAGGCTAGGGTCTCAATGTTCTCCCTGGGGAGGAGCCGAGCAGCACGTCAGCCCAGGCGCACTGTCCTACCCTAGCCCTGGGAGGTCTGCGGCAGGGAGTGGGCCTGCAGGGCAACAGGGGGGTACCCACTGTAGGAAGGCAGTGTCATTGGTGTGACTCAGGTAGCGGGCCATCATGAGGGTCAGGAGTGGGGGCTGGCTCCGCTGCAGGTAGTACACACGCCCACCATTGGGGATGTGCCCGTAGCTGCCAAGAGAGACACCTGCTGAGGTGCCTTCTGCCTTGCTCCAGGCCCAAGGCACACCTGCTTGTCCTCCACCCCCTGCCCCACCACCCCCGGCTGGAGGTGTCCGGCCCTCACATTTTCACCAGGTCCAGGAAGTTCTGCAGCATGCCCTTCACCGTCTCGGCCATCTCAGAGAGGAGCAGGCCTTCCATCACCCAGTAGGAGTCCCTGGGGGAAGGGCAGCTCAGCATCGCCCTGGTGCCTGCCTCGCCCCAAATACTCGGCAAGTCCCCCGGCTTCTCACCAGTAGTAGGACTCAACAAAGCGCCCGCCAGGCACGATGAAGGGGTGGTTTAAGTAGATCAGTGAGAACTGCTCAGGGTGGTTGAGAACCTCAGGCTTTATCTGGAGTCAGGAAGGACAGCAGGGGGGTGGGACAGTTAAGGAGGTGGAGGCTGGGGGTGGAGGCCCTGGCAGCCATGGGCTTCAGAGCCTGGCAACCAGGCTTAAATGCTGGCTCTGCTGCTGCTTGGCCATATGGTCGAGGCCCTGCTGCAGAGAGCCTTGGTGTCCTCATCCCCACACGCAATCAACTTGGTGTGTAGAAGCACTGACCACTCAAACGATCCTCCTGCCTCAGCCTCCTGGGAGCTGGGACTACAGGGGTGCCCCCTGCACCCAGGCATCTGCTATTCCTATATGTATATTTTGGTGGGAAAGGGCAGCCTGTCTTAGTTATTTTGAGAGAGCAGAGAATGGGGCTCAGGTTTGTCCTGGGGTACCCTCGAGAGCTGAGTGAGGAAGGCAGCCTGAGCTAGCAAGGGAGCCCTGAGCAGCACTGGGTGGCAGGGATTTTTGGGGCACAGGAGGCTGAGTTGGAGGAGAGAGCATGGGTGGTCCTGTGTGGCCTTGGGCAGAGCAAAGGAGAGAAATCAGCCCACCTTGGCCACAATAGTTCTTACTGTTCTGGAGACAAGTCTGACCCTAGGAGCTGGGGGCTTGGGGGAGAGACAGAGCCCAGCAGCGGGGTGAAGATTTAGCAGGTGAAGGTAGAGGCAGAGCTGGGTAGCATGGAGGCTGCAGGACAGGCTAGGTTTGCCTCAGGGAGGCTGGGGAGCCCTTCTGAAGGAGAAGAGGCATTAGGAGTGCTCCCCCTAATCTCGGAAATTCTTCTGGAGGGCTTTTATTTGGGAACCCAGGGAGAAGGGAGACTGTGTCCTCAGGAAAGGAAACCCGATCTGTGTTCTGAAGACACTGTGGGCCTCCACAGGGATACCCCTCCCCCAGCCCCAGGCCCTGGGCAGGCCCAGGACACTGATACCTTCTTTCCCAGCTTCTTCCAGAGCTGGTGCAGCTGCCCTGCCCAGACACGCAGCTTGGTATCCGAGATCTTCTGCAGGAACTGGGGGCTGGAAGAGGGTCGATCCCCAGGATTCAGGGAGGCAGCCCTGTTGGAAGGGCCCTATCCTGTTCCCTGCCGGGAGTCATACCTGTCTTTCCAGTCTCCAGGGGTCCAGGACTGTAGCTCCTGCCCCACATCCTGGAAATGATCTTTCAGAAACTCCTGCAGCTTCTGTTTTGGGATGCTGTGATTATAGGCCTGGGACAGCTCCCAGAAGCGCTGCAGGACTTTGTCTGGAGGGTGAACAGCAGGGAGGAGTCAGCAGGAGCCCTGATCAGAGGGGTCTCTCTGCCTGGTCTTGCTCCCCGGAGAAGGTGAGTCCCCAGGTATCTCACCTGGGGTTGAGGACAGTGGCATGTCCACAAAGTGCTTGTCATCCTGGTAGAGCCTGGCCATCTGAACTTGGTGCAGGAGCTCCCCATGGCAGTAAATCAGGCTGCAGAGATGGGGATGGGAGCTGGTCAGGCCACCACTACCACCCCATTAGGGCAGAGAAGAGCAGTAGGGTCAGGCACGTAACCTGGGACCAGACAAGGGTTGTGTGTGTGGGGTAGGAGTTTGTGGGCGAGAGTGCTCCAGGGCTGAGAGAAGCAGGATCTTCATACAGTAAAGGACCTGAGCCTACACTGGTTGCTAATTTGAAATGGTGGCTGATGGACAAGGGGAGTGGAGGTTAGCACCTGAATCAGTGACATGTTAGGAGCTGGATTGCTGCTGGGAACCAGTTCTCTGTACCACAGGCCAGTGTCCACCGCATCAGAAGGGCTTATGACACAAGCCTGTGAGGTACATCCAGTGGTGGTTGCTGAGATGGTGGACCAGAAAATTTGCAGACACATCTTGGAGAGATAATTACTAGCGTGCTCCCAGATATTTGTTGAAAACTGCCTCCGTGACTGCAGAACACAAAATAATCCTGAAACCTGAAAGACCCATAACGTTTTGGGTAATGTCAGAAAAACACTCGGATAAAGATGGCAGCGTGTGTAAGAGCTCCTTGATAATCAGGTGGAAATGGTTTACTCAGGACTAGGCTGCTCCAGGGACTCAGGAGGGGCAGGCAGCCTCCTTCCTCTAGGGCCGACTTCTGAGGCACCTAAAGAGCTGATGCCCTAGGAGGGGCCCTAGGAAGAGTTCTTGACTGACCAGCAAAAAGCTGCTTGGTCTTGGGTAGGGAGACAGTAGCTTGTTTGGAAGGCCATTGCACTCTGCTGACCGATGGAAAAGCCTTTGCAGAAGGTAAGAACAAATCAGCTCAGTGGGCTAAGCCGCATGCTCTTTTCCTGGCAGAGATGGAAGAATGGAGTGATCAAAGCCTCTATGTTTGGGTTTTCACTGACTTATGAGCAGTGGTCAGTGGGCGGGTAGACAGGCAGTGAAAAACTGAACTGTTACAGGGATATCAACATGGGGCGGGACCCTATGGGAACCACTATGGAAATCTGAGGGTCATTAAAGTAGCTTTGCGATACCTGACTGTAGATGCAAATGCCCAACATGCTATAAAATGTTATATTGGAACAGAAGACATCGTACCAACGTGGACCACCCAGTTACATTTCTTCAGATCAAGGGACACAATTTATAGCCCATAGTCCAACCAATATTATAGCAAATGGACGTATCATGTTACATACTGTCCTCAAAGCAATGGCTTCATAGAGAGTTGTTAACAGGCAATTAAAATCTTTGTTGTATAAAATGGGGGAGATAAAACCAAGAAGGGCGAGATTCCTCTGCTTTTCTGGGTGGCCTGGGGAAGAGGGGGTGAGGACACTGCTCGTATGACTATACAATTTTAGCCCCAGTTATTTTAAGGACTTTGTCCCTACCCGATATAGTGGTCCCAGGCCCAGGACTGCAACTGTGGGTGTCAGAAGAAAGGATGATTTCCAAGCAAGGAATTGTAACTATGCCTACTAACTTTTATGTCTAACCGCCTGATCGGGGAGGTTGTGTCTTTACCCCATCTGGCTACATTGAGGTCATTGATGAATGCAGCTCTGTTGTCTGGTGGTCAAGATCGTCTGCTAGTTCCTCACCTTTATGACCCTACCCTATAGGACCAAGGGCAGGGCACTTGCTAGACGGGTGTTGTTGCTGGCAACCCTCTATCAGAATCAGCACAGTGACCAGACCCAGTGTCCCTTCCAAAGGTGGAAAAGCTTGGTAAAAATTAATGACAAACAGAGAGAAGGAGAAATAGTAGCTGAGGGTAAAGGAATGAATGAATGGGTTATGCGACGAGGGAAATCCAACATCGCATACGTGCCTGGACAAGAACAAGAAAGTGTCCTCTCTTAGCGAGGTTATACCACATGTCTGAAAGGGGGAGCCACACATTTGCCGAGACCACTCCTGCTTTGGGGACCTGGCAATGTTGAATGGCAGCCTGCATACCTGAATGGTCACTCTTGATAGAGTGCTGTGGCGTCATAAGCCACAGCAACCTCAAACTCTCGGGCTCAAGCGATTCTCTTGCCTCAGCCTCCCAAGTAGCTGGGACTACAAGTGCTCGCCACAATGCCCAGCTATTTTTTTAGAGATGGGGGTCTCGCTCTTACTCAGGCTGGTCTCGAGCCTGTGAGCTCAGGCAATCCACCTGCCTCAGCCTCCCAGAGTGCTGGGATTATAGGCGTGAGCCACCATGCTGGGCCCCAAACAGCTCTTTGTTGGCCAGTTGAGAGCAGTTTATTATTATTATTTTTTTATTAAATCATATCAATATTGAGAGCAGTGTAGAGGGCACCATCTGAGTGGCAGTGGAATCTGGCCCCTCCTTGGGTGATTCAAAGGCAGTCCTAGGGGAAAAAAGTCTACCTGCTCTTTTTTTTTTTTTTGTGACAGAGCCTCAAGCTGTCCCCCTGGGTAGAGTGCCATGGCTTCACTGCTCACAGCAACCTCCAACTCCTGGGCTCAAGCGAGTCTCCTGCCTCAACCTCCCAAGTAGCTGGGACTACAGGCGCCCACCACAATGCCTGGCCATTTTTTGGTTGCAGCCATCATTGTTGTTTGGCGGGCCCGGACTGGGGATTCGAACCCACCACCTTAGGTGTATGTGGCTGGTGCCTTAGCTGCTTGAGCCACAGGCGCCAAGCCCACTTCCATTTTCTTATGGAACTTTTCTGGGCATTACCTATCCTGTTAGAGTATTTCCCTGACATCACTCAGGACATTCTGGGTATAGATATTAGACACGTAGGTATAGGTCTCAAGATTATCTTTTGGCCTTCAGTCATGGGGCAATTACAAATGATGTCTGATAACAAGCTACTAATTACCTCTCAAATGGAAATCCTCTAGTCCAAAGTCCTAGTAGTGATGCTGGTAGGTGCTCTAAGGTCTAGTCTATACTCCACAGGAGGCTAACGATCTGTGTGGACCTGGGCAATCTTATTGGTCCCATTTGTAATGTCCAATCAATACTGCGTGACGGGTGGGTTTATACACCTTCTGCTCTACAACCGTAGAAAGTGGAAATGTTCCCTGGTCAGATGTGATACTCACTGCCATAATGCATTCAGGAAAAAGAGACGCCATCATTTCACATAAAATCTGTTCCAATGTGCCAATTTTCATCCACGCTTTCCTAACCGTGGCCCCCATTAAGACCAACAGGTTTGGTTTTTCAAGTTAAGGATGATAGATAACAATCGATAGAGATTGTATATTTTCTTTTGTTTCCTTTTTCAGGGATGGGGTCTTGCCCTTTTACCCTCTTGGGAGTGCAGTGGAACAATCGAAGGTCACCTGGAATGCCTGGGCTCCAGGGAGCCTCTCATCTCAGCCTCCTGAGTCGCTGGGATTACAGGCACACACCACCATGCTCAGCTAATTTGTTACTGTTTCGTAGAGACAGGGTCTCACTATGTTGCCCAGGCTGGTTTCAAACTCCTGACTTCAAGCGAATTGCCTACCTCTGCCTCCCAGTGTGCTAGCATTACACGCATGAGCCACCAAGCCCCACTGTGCTTTTCTCTTGTTAGTTTGCGTTTCTTATGCATCAGCGAGTCAATTCCTCAGAAGGTGGATGTATCATCTTTAAGTTCTAACTTTTACCCCCAGAAACAACTGCAGCATAACTGCTTTTCCATACCACGGGGGGCTCGGTAGCCACCCAGAAATGCAAAGTTCCTCATACCCTGCCCTCACAGCTGTCCTCTTCTCAACCTACATTTCAGTCAGTCAAGGTCATTCTAGTAAATCATACATTTTCTCTCTTTCTCTTTTTGAGACAGAGTCTCACTGTGTTGCCCTCTGTAGAGTGCTCTGCGTCACAGCTCACAGCAACCTCAGACTCTTGGGCTTAAGCGATTCTCTTGCCTCAGCTTCCCAAGTAGTTGGGACTACAGGCGCCCACCACAACGCCCAGCTATTTTGTTGTTGTTGTTGTTGCAGTTGTCCTTGTTGCTTTAGCTGGCCCAGGGAGGGTTTGAACCTGCCAGCCTGGGTGTGTATGGCCAGCGCCCTACCCACTGAGCTATGAGTGCCGCCCAAATCACACATTTTCTGACACCAACACAATACTATAGCTTAATTTTGGCATTAATCATAGGGTATGTGTGGACTCCATGCACAGGTTACTGGCCGGTTAAGGGCATAAGTCACCAGCGAGACTGCCTTCACTTCAGACACCAGCCACAAGTTCAGGGGTCCCCGGGCCACCTGCCCTTCTGACCAACTGACTACAAACTCAAGGGTTCCCACAGCTTCCCTAGGGGGCCACTGTAAATCATTTCATTAGTATAAACTGTTAATGCCCCATATGAGTAACAACAACACTCCTATCACTGGGGAAATTCCAAAGGCTTAGCGATTACCTTCCAGAAACCCAAGACAAAGACCAAATTCTTCATTATATAACAAGCAGCTTACCAGTAGAGGGTTGACTCAGCAGATCTGCTATGTTCAAACCCTGCACATTGCAGAGAAAGTTCTGGCCTGTGACTGACCCTGAGAGATAACTTTGTTTTTTTGAGACAAAGTCTCACTAAGTCACTCTGGGTAGAGTGCTGTGACGTCACAGCTCACAGCAACCTCAAACTCTCCGACTCAAGCAGTTCTCCTGCCTTAGCCTCCCAAGAATCTGGGACTACAGGCACCCACCACAACGCCCAGCTATTTTTTTGGTTGCAGTTGTCATTGTTGTTTGGCAGGCCCGGGCTGGATTTGAACCCGCCAGCTCTGGTGTATGTGGCTGGCACCCTAGCCACTGAGCTACAGGTGCTGAGCCCCTGAGAGATAAGTTTTAAGTCACTGGAAAACACCACCTGATAATACTTTGTTTACTTGGGACCTTTGGCCATGCCAGGTATTTTATGCTAATATATGATTTAAGTGGGAGTCTTTGGCCACCCAGTTTGACCTCTGGAGACCGGCGAGTGAGTAACTAAGGTCAGTCCCACATGTGTTTCTATGACTGACCCTCAATAAAAACTCTGGACACCGAGACACAGGTGAGCTTCCTTGATTGACAATACATCACGTGTGTTGACACATATCCTTGCTGGAAAAATCAGTGGTATCCACAAAAAGCACCTGGAAGAGAAAAACTGGAAAATGGAGCTTATTTTCCCCAGGACTCTCCCCTATATGATTTCACCTGTGACAGCTTTAATGCATACTCTTTCCCGGTCATAACCATAACTGTGGGTATAATCGTCTGGTGATTACTAGTGAATCACTGACTTGAGGTTGCTCTTAGGGACCACCAGCACAGTCCTCTTTCCATACATTTGGCCACAACCTAAAGCTTGACCAAACCCTTGATCAAATAGCCTCTCTAAAATTCTTGTTATAATTGCTCAGGACCAAACCTGTTAATTATCCCAGGTACACTTTTTCTCTTTATATTCCACAAATGATCATTGGCTAATACCACCAACCTACCTATTTTATTTATTTATTGAGACAGAGTCTCACTATGTTGCCCTCAGTAGAGTGCGGTGACATCACAGCTCACAGCAACCTCAAATTCTTGGGCTTAAGTGATTCTCCTGCCTCAGCCTCCCAAGTAGCTGGGACTACAAGCACCCATCACAATACCTGGCTATTTTTTGGTTGCAGTTGTTTAGTTGGCCCAGGCCAGGTTCAAATCTGCCAACCTTGGTGTATGTGGCTGGCACCATAACCACTGTGCTACGGGTACTGAGCCAACTTATCTATTTTGAATACAGGGTGGCCATAAGGTTGTGTGCAATTGCCACCGTGTATATGTCCTACTGAACCACTTCTCTCGGTCTCTACTCCTAACACCGGCGCCCCAGCCTGGGACCCTCCTGCCTGGAGCCCCCCTCACTCCCTAAACCTGTTCCCACTCCGTTCCAACAACATAGCCCTTCTTCCCAATCCTTGAATTGTACTCCAGGCCCTTTGCATTGACGTTTCCATGCCTGGACTGTCCTCTCTTGGATCTACCTAGGTTTGGTTCCTTCCACAATTCTACTCAAACGTTCTCCTCAGAGACACCTTTCCTCCCCCTCCCCTCTGACATATCCTCTGGCACCCCCACCAGCAAGTCCCCTACTTCATTTCACTTCGAATTGTCCATCTCTCACGGTTTGGTTTCTATTATTACTGTTCTTGCAAGAGCTGGTAAAGCAGGTGGTGTGGCGAGAGCTCCCATGTGGAGAAGGCAGACAATGGCCTGTGAGTCCAGGAGGCTGGACAGGCTCACTTATCTCTGACATCTGGTGATGAAAACTGAGGCTCAGGAAAGAGGTTGGACTTGCCCTGGGTCACACAGGGAATGGCAGGGACAGGGTTTAAACCCGAGTGCTCTGGTCAGATCTTTAGGCCCACACCTCACACCTGGGTTAGGGAACTCAGGCACAAAGTTTGCAAGAACAATCCTGAGAACAGCCCCCTGCACAATTCAAGGAATGGCTGGGGGGACGGGAAGGAGGGCTGGCTCTGTCCAGCAGGCTCCTGGCCCAGGTGTAGGCCAGCTTCAGGCAGCTCCATCTTCCCCCAGGGCCCAGGACAGAGCCTGGCACACAAGGAAATTTAATTTTTTTCTCTTCACCACTTTTTCTTCTCCTCTCCTTCTCTTCCCCTCTTTCTCAAAGGCTGACCCCTAGAGCTTGAGACCTCGTTCCAGGCCACCAGACCCCAGCCATTCTCCCCAACCCCAGCCGACTGCCCCACATCCCTACCTCTCACATGGTGGGGGTAGGGCTGCCTGCGACCCCAGGCCCAGCAGAAGTAGCAGGCACAGCTCCCAGGTCCTCCCAGGCATGGTGGCTGTGACTATGGCTGAATGAGCAAGCCCAGGCGCCTCTGCTTGCTGGGCACAGCCTGGCTCACCTGCCCATCCAAGTCAGCCAAAGTCCAAACTTTGGGGCGTGGCCACCCGAGGGGACGTGTGTTTGGTTTGCACGTGGCCCACTTGCCCTTCCCGCTCACAGGTACAGTGGTCATCTTCCCCACCTTTACTATTTTTTGCCTCTTCTTTTTTTTTTGAGACAGAGCCTCACGCTGTCACCCTGGGTAGAGTGCTGTGATGTCACAGCTCACAGCAACCTCCAATTCCTGGGCTTAAGCGATTTTCTTGCCTCAGCCTCCCAGGCAGCTGAGACTACAGGTGCCTGCCACAAATGCCCGGCTATTTTGTTGTTGTTGTTGCAGTTGTCATTGTTGTTTGGCGGGCCTGGGCCGGGTTTGAACCACATGCCAGCCTCTGTGCATGTGGCTGGCTACCTCGCTGCTGAGCTACAGGCGCTGAGCCTTCCTTTAGTATTTCAAACAGAATGGCTCAAGAGTCTGTCCCTGATGAGGTGAGAAACTCAGGGACCCTCACTATTATCTATAAGGAATGCTGTGGAAACACAACACTGCATAACCATCCTGTCTGAGGAAGACCCGCCACAGTAATGCCATTTGCAATAGGTCCTAAACAATCTTCATTTGCCAAGGGAGTGTGGTCTAGAGACCACTCAATGCACACAGAACATATTAAGGGAATGATGAGAAGCTCAGCCTAGCTAGATAGAACCTGGCATCCCTACAAGGAAGGGTTGTGAGAAAAGGCTAGAGGAATGTGTTGGCACCAGTCTATAAATGGCCTTTGCCAAGCCAAGGAGGCAGCTGTTTCCCCAAAACAGAACCACCAGAGAAGCTTGTGAGCTGAAGCAGCAGGATTAGATTTGCTTTAGAAAGCTCATCCCTTTAAAATTATGGAAGATGAGTTGAAGGGGCTCAAGGTGGGCCGAGGTACACCAGGCGACTGCAGCATCAATGCAGGCCTGAATTAACCCAGAGGAGGTGGAGCACACAGGGAGGCGCTTACTTCCAGCCAGCACCACTGAGTGTAGAGATTAGCGTGACCTCTCCTGCAGGACTCAGATTTGCTGTTAAGGATGTCAGTTTTGCAGCAGCATTTGCCACTGTCAAAAGAAACATTGTGGACAAATTAAATTTAGCAATGTATCTGAGCAAAGAAATCACTTATGAATTGGGCAGCACCCATACCAGCAAAGGTGCAGAGAGCTCTACTCAGCAATGGCCGGCTGACAGTATTTATAGACAGAAAAGGAAATGACCTACAGAAACAGCCTGATTGGTTACAGTTCAGCATTTGCCTTATTTGGACAGGTCTGAGCAGTTGGAAGCCTGTGATTGGCTGACAGCTCAGCTGCTATGATTGGCTGAAATTCCTGGCTGAGAATCAGCTATTTGTTACACGGTTCTACTCTCAGGTTAGGTTGCGGTTTGTTCACATATTAAGTTAGGGGTTACCGTGCGCTACATTCAGAGGCGGCTTAAGGTCAAATTTAATTTAATTTTACAACACAGACAAGGTGGCCCAGGCCCTGTGTTTCCCCTAAATGGGACTCTTGTCCCTCCTCTCTGATAATTTGCCCCTCCCCTTCCTGCCACTCCTCACTTCCAGAAACTGCATGCCTTCTTTCTCTCTCTTTTTTAATTTTTAATAAGATTTGGCATTATAACCATTTTTAAGCATACAATTCAATTTATATTACGTTCATAATATTGTGTGACCACTCTTGCACCCTTTGGATAAATCTCACTTGGTCATGGTGTATAATCCTTTTAATAAACTGCTGTATTTGATTTGCTAGTATTTTGTTGAGGAATTTTGCATCCATATGCATAATTTTCTTTTCTTGTTATATCTTTATCCGGCTTTGACATATGGGTAACGCCAGCTTCATAGAAGAAGTTAGGAAATATTCCACTCCTCTTCTATTTTTGAAAAATAGAAAAAGTGGTATTAATTCTTTAAATGTTTGATACAATTTACCAATAAAGCCATCTCGTCTTAAACCTTATTAGATAGGGTTCTTCAGAAAAACAAAAACAATAGATGTGTATGCGTGTGTGTGTGTGTGTGTATACATATATAGATTTGTGTGTATATCTATGGAGAGAGAGGGAAAAAGAGAGACAGGGGTTTATTTTTAGGAACTGAACCACACATTGTGGAGGTTAGCAAGTCCAAAATCTCCAGGTAAGCTAGAGATCCAGGGAAGAGTTGTGGTTCAAGTCTGAACCCAGTGTGATGTCAGAAAATCCCTCTTTCTGGAGAGGTTAGTCTCTTTCCAGTTAAAGCCTTCAGCTGATTGGCTGAGGCTCATTCACATTTTGGAGGGCAATCTGTTTTACTCAAAGTCTACTGATTTAAATGTTAATTTCATCTAAAAATACCTTCACAGAAACCTCTAGAATAACATTTGACAAGCTGTCTGTGCCTAGCTGTGTTGATACATAAAATTAAACCCCTCATGGACTTTTCTTTCTTGGGAGGTTTTTTATTACAATTACAATCTATTACAGGTCTATTGAGACTTTTTATTTCTTCTTGCATCAGTTTAGGTAATTTGTGTGTTTCTAGAAGTTTGTCTATTTCATCTAGGTTGTCAAATTTGTTGGCATACAATTGTTTATAGTATTCTGTTTTTATTTTTATAAGGTCAATGATAATGCTGCATGTTAATTTCATTTCTTTTTTCTTTCTTTCTTTTTTTTTTTTTTAGAGACAGAGTCTCATTTTGTCACCCTCGGTAGCATGCTGTAGCATCACAGCTCCCAGCAACCTCCAGCTCTTGGGCTTAGGCGATTCTCTTGCCTCAGCCTCCCAAGTAGCTGCATGTTAATTTCTGATTTTAATTATTTGTGACTTCACTCTTTTTTTTCTCTTTGGGTGAAGTTTTGTCAATTTTGTTGATCTTTTCAAAGGACAAACTTGGTGTTGATGATTCTCTCTGCTGATTTTCTATTTTCTTTTCTTTCTTTCTTTCTTTCTTTTTTTTTTTTGAGACAAAGTCTCTCTGTGTTGCCTTGGTAGAGTTCTATGGTGTCACAGCTCACAGTAACCTCAAACTCTTGGGCTTAAGTGATTCTCTTGCCTCAACCTCCCAAGTAGCTGGAACTTCAGGCACCTGCCACAATGCCTGGCTATTTTTTTGTTGCAGTTGTCATTGTTGTTTAGCTGGTCCAGGTCGGGTTCGAACCCACCGGCCTTGGTATATGTAGCTGATGCCATAACGACTGTGCTATGGGCCCCAAGCCTAATTTTCTGTTTTCTAAATATCTTTGTTCTGATTTTTATTATTTCCTTCAGATAGCTTTGAGTTTAGTTTCTTCCTTTTTTTCTTCCTGTCCTCCTCTTCTCCCTCCTCCTGTTCCTCCTCCCTCCTTCCCCTTACCTTCCTCTTCCTCCTTCTTCCTTTTTTGACAGAATCTCACTCTGTTGCCCAGGCTAGAGTGCCATGGCATTAGCACAGCAACCTCAAACTCCTGGGTTCAAGAGATCTTCCTGCTTCAGCCTCCTGAGTAACTGGGACTACAGAGGCCTGTCTAATTTTTTCTATTTTTAGTAGAGACAGGGCCTTGCTCTCTTGCTCAGACTGGTCTTGAACTCCTGAACTCAAGAGATCCTCCCACCTCAGCCTCCCAGAGTGCTAAGATTACAGGCATTACAGGTGTGAGCCACCACTCCCAGCACTTTTTTTTTCCAAGACAGGGTCTCGCTCTATCACCAGTGCTGGAGTGCAGTGGTATCATCATAGCTCACTGCAACCTCAAACTCTTGGGCTGGAGCAATCCTTTTGCCTCAACTTTCCAAGTAGCTGGGACCACAGGAACACACTACCGCATCTGGCTAGTTTTTCTGTTTCTTTTTGTACAGATGGGGTCTCAGTTTTGCTCAGGCTGGTCTCTGATGGAATGGCATCCTGTCTAGACTTGGTTTCTGTCTTGCATGCTGAGCTACTGGATTAGGCTACAGGAACCTGCAACCATGAACTGAAATAAGTATACGAGAACCATACAAATGTGTGGCAATGGGCTTGGCACCTGTGGCTCAGCGGCTAGGTGCCATCCACATACACTGGAGCTGGAGGATTCGAATGTGCCCTGGGCCTGTTGCTGTGAGCTGTGACTCTACTAAGGGCAACATAGTGAAACTCTGTCTCAAACAAAACAACAACAACAGCAACAAAATAAATATGTGGCAATGAATAATATAGCACAGGAGTGCTCAGTGAACGTTTCGTGTTTGTTATTGTTTTTCTTTGATTAGATAATAAATAAGAATAAAAACAAAATTAGAGTATTGATTTTTAATCTTTCTTCTTTTCTAATAGATGCATTCAGTGCTATAAATTTCCTGCTAAGCACGGCTTTGGCTGCATTCCACAAAATTTTGACAAGTTGTATTTTCATTTTCCCTTCGTCCAATATATTTTTAAATCTCCCTGGAAATTTCTTCTTTGACCTACGTTATGTAGAAGTGTGGTGTTTAATCTCTGGATATCTGGGGATTTCTTAGCTATCTTTTTTTTAATTGACAGCTAGTTTAATTTTATTGTGGTCTGAGCTCATATATCATATGATTTCTATTATTTTAAATTTGTTCAGCTCTATTTTATGACCTGAAATAAAGTCTATTTTGGTGACTATCCTAAGTGAATTGGAAAATAATGTATATTATGCTGTGGTTGAATGACGTATTCTATAGATGGAATTATATCCAGTCGATTGTGCTTTGGTTGTTTTTTTTGAGATAAGATTTCTCTCGGTGCAGTGGTGTCATCATAGCTCAGTGCCGTGATGTTAGCATAGCTCACTGTCTCAAACTCCTGAGCTCAAATGATCCTCCTGCCTCAGCCTGGGAGTAGCTGGGAGTACAGGTATGAGCCACGATGCCCAGCTGCTTATTGGCACTTTTGAGTTCAACAAAGGCCTTCCTGATTTCTGCCTGGTGGATCTGTCCACTCCTGATAAGGGGGAGTTGAAGTCTCCAACTCTAA